GAGAAAATAATGACCTGAAGCTTTGTCACTACAGACTATGTCTTTGGACATCCTGAGGTTCATGAATGTTCCCCATGCAATGAGAAAGGTTTTATTTTGTGTTTCAGTAGGGAATATGCCATTGGTGTAGAAATACTGTCCCACCTGCACTGGTTCCCCACAAAGCAAAGCTGCTGCAGAGCTCCAGGTCTCTGGGCATTTTCCCACTTCAAAGCAGATCCTTTTTCTTTTTCCCTTCCTCCCCAAGAGGAGAGCAGCTGACACCATGTCCCAGCCTCTGCTTACACTCTTACCTTCTCTTTAGACTTCACCAAGCTGTCCTAAATTAAAGTTGCATGAGAAAGGTAAGAGCTGCATCTGATGTTCTGACCTGCTGATGTTCAGCACTAGAAGTTACTTTTCTGTTCAGCTTCATTTCGAGCACCCACTTGCAAAGCCCTGGAGATCAGAGGAGAAGGGATGGACTCTCCTGTGTGATCCTGCACCTGGCAGTGAGCAGCTCCTGAAGGAAGAGAGCCTGGCCTGCCCTGGCCCTCCTCTCCAGCTGTGCCTGCAGGTACAGCTCAAGGGAAGATATCAAACCATGGGCTTCACAAAGGGAGGATAAAGGAGGAGGAAAATAGCCCTCCCAGTTCACCCACAGGGAGAAGGTAAACAAGGACAAAGGAAGGGGAATGAAGCAGCCTTGGAAAAAAACCCAACAAACAAAATGAAAACAGAAGAAAAAAGGTCAAAACAGAAGAGGAGTGAGAAGGGACCCTGGGATTCTTGTGGCTGCAAGAGCCTTGCTGTTAAAGGCTGCACTGGAAATCTGTCATTGACAGAACGGGTGGAAATACCTTGAAAAAAAGCCCCAACAAACAAAATGGATACAGAAGGAAAAAAAGGTCAAAGCAGAAGAGGAGTGAGAAGGGACCCTGGGATTCTTGTGGCTGCAAGAGCCTTGCTGTTAAAGGCTGCACTGGAAATCTGTCATTGACAGAACGGGTGGAAATGACAGTTCTGGATGTACATTTGGAAACGCACCATTGGCACAACCAGACACCTCACTCAATCCCATGGGGCTGAAGAAGCACAAACCAGATTTGGCCACGTAACTGACATTGCAAGAGAAGCCGTAAGAATGAGAGATGGATTTGAAATTATCTTTCTGTCAAAGAATAAAAAAATCAGATAAAGGTCAAAATTAGTTTTCAGCAAAAGACAGGGTGGATAAAACAGAAAGCTTGAAATGAATGGAATCCTGTTCTTCAGGAGTATTTAAAATAAAGCCAAAAATCAATGCCTTTAGTCCCTGTTGGCAATAAAGGAGGCAGGGAGGCCAGTGCAGCTTGGGGCTCCCAGTCCCATTCCTAACCAAGGCTGATCCTTACTTTAGATGCCAAGCAGGAGATGAGCTGTGGAAAAGACTGAGCATCTTCACCTGCAGCTGCTGTGACTGACCCGGCCTCAGGTGCTCTGCAGTTCACACCCCTGCTGTCAACACAGGCTTTTGGCAGGAGCAGGTGAGCAAGGACAGCAGATCAGGCAGCTCTGAAGTGCTCCCAGAGAGAACAGCACCTGCACAGACATTTCCTCACCTCCAGGGCCATCCACCTCAGCTCTGTGTTGCACATGCACTCATTCACACTCAGCAAATACAATCTCACTTTGGCTTACCCACAGAGAATATTCACCCACATAATATATCCTCCTTTTTGTAAGCATTGAGACACTGAGGATTTGTTCTAGAGTGGAAATGCCACCATCTCCTCTTGTGGGCTGGAGCAGCTCTGTGGCAGTTTTTAGTACAGGGGGTTTGTCCTGGTGGGATGCAGAAAGCATCAGAAATCCTGTGCTGGGAGTGGGAATACCTGCTGCAGATTGCACATGCTGCCAGCCCTGAGCCGTGGGCTCCTGCAGCTGGAGCAGACCCAGAGAAGGCGCCTGAGGGTGGGCACAGGATGGGTACAGAGCCCTTGCCCAAACTCAACCCCTTATGATGATTTGACCAATGTAAGAGCTGACCATTCATTCATTCATTCATTCGAGCTGAACTAGTAAACACCATTCAACCTTTTTAATCCTTTACCTAAAAGGCCAGAGGCAAAGTAAAAGGAAAGCACAGAAGCCAGCCCAAAGTTAAGATCCTCCAAGTGGCAGTAGCCAGGCTGATGGCAGAAGACATCTTAGCCCCTTGTTGTGTTTTGTTCCTCTTCAGCTCTCAGTTTTGTCCACAACAGCACAGTTGTGTTTCTTTGGTGGAAAGAGCACAGGGAAGTTTGTTCTGACACTCCAGACACCCTCATGGAGGAGTCAGAACAGGAACACTGGGCATGGATGAACTAAAAGAAAGCCAGAAGAGGAAGAAGGAGTGACTAAGGTACTATTAGTGTCAAAAACATTTTATCTAATTCATAACCAAGCCCAAGCTTTCCTCTCTTCCCCCAGCCCCCAAGAAACTGCCCACATAGCACACCAGCTCATGGAAACGTGTTAGCTAAACATAAAATCTTACAGGTCTTTTACTTCTTCCTCCCCCATGGAGAAGCTGCACTGCTGCATGGCTGGGACTCACTGCTTCCCCAGCACATCCATCAGCAAAAATGTGAAGGAGTTAAATGGAAAACAGGTTATCATCCCTGAGCATTCAGTGGGATGCTTGTTACTTTCATGCTAATGTGTGAAAATTAAGCTAAATAGGTGTTCCCTGTTTAAACCCTTTGTACGAAAGGGGGGTCTCGCAGTGCACTTGAAGAGCCCATTACAGCGAAGCCACAGCTTCAATTGGCTTTGCTATTGTGCCTGGAGAAAAAAGAGAAAATGAAGTTCTAAGAAAGGAGGGGGAAAAAAACCCCTAAGCTCTCAAATCTTACATTTCCAGAATCCATTTCTACTTTGAGCAGGTGAGAAAGGGCTCCCAGTACCATTGTGAAAGGGAAAAATGATCAGGAACTGCACGCCCAGCTCTATTGTACTTCCCTCTGAAATAATACAATGCTCTACTGTGTTTCCCATTCTGAAAGTTCATGGCTCTTTTCCTAATCTCGAAGCTCAAAGTGAAAAAAAAAAAAATCACTCAAAGATAGTAAAATTGAATGGATAAGACACCATTTTGGTGCCAAAACACTCCTAACTCAGGAAATCTCTTACATAAATTTAATGCTGCTTCCTAATTGCATTCGTGCTCTGAAACTCAGATTCCAAATGATTGTAAAAATTTTGGCAATTTCAGGACAGATTAAAAAACAACACAAGACAAAACCAAAACAATAAAAAATAGAAGGAAAAAAAAAACCAACAAACAAACCAGGAACTCCATCCTGAACAAGTTAACTTAAAAGACATAAGGGTGTGAGTTGCACTTGTCCTTTCTGTTTCCCCAAGCTCGCTCCCCCAGGCTGCAGCTGCCCACCTGCAGCCCCTTCCACGGGCAGGATCATCCACCAGGTGCTCTGCTCTCTGAGCTGCTTTTGGCAACCCTCTAGAGACAACAGTTCCTCAGGGAACCAAAATGCCTCTCAGCTCAGGGTGCTCAGAGCTGGAAGGAGTTTCAGACTCTCCAGCCCACGCCAGTGCCTACGGGCTCAGCAAATTATTTACAAAACGTAAGGGCTTGCCTTGAAGAGCTACTACTGCCTATCCTATCTCTGAGGAGAGCATGAGTTATCCTTTACTACAGCCAATGCTTCACTAGTTTATTTTGCATTCATTACTTCTTTTTTTAATTTATTTTTTTTTTTTAAGCTAGGAGATAGCAAAACAGAGGATCTGTGTATTTAATTACTGGATGCTGCAAAAAGACTGTAATTACACCATTTGCACTCCGGCTGATTCCACCCCATTCTCCCAATTCATTTAAGTGCAGACAGCCTCGGTAGCTCCCTAATCAGAATGTCTATAAATACAGCAATCGAGGCACTGAGCACATCCCCAGCAGCCCCCCAAACCAGGATTAAAGACCTACAGTGCATCCTCAGATGCAGGACCTGGGAAAAGGGCTGCAGAACTGAGGTGCACACCCACGCTCAGCCCGTCCAGAGGGTGCAGGGAACAGGGCACCCCAGTGCCAGCCAGCCCCGAGAGTTCAGAATCCTGCCAAGGAGAAGGACACAGGCGACATCTCTGTGCCCATCCGGTAAAAAACGGTGCAGGGCTCAGGAGGGGAAGTGCAGCACCCACACTGCACCCCATGCCCAGCCGGGTCCAGAAGGTGCAGAACCAAGGTGAACCTTTCTCCCAGCTGTCCCAGAGAGTGCAGGGCAGGGGGACAGGGGGCGCAGGCCACCTCGATAAGCTGTGCAGCACCGGGACAAGCGGGGGCAAGACCCGGGCTGCACCCCCATAGCCTAGGCAGCCCTGGCACAGGCTCTGGAAAGAAGTTGTTAAATCTGGGCACCCCTACACCCAGGGAGCCCGGGAGATGCAGGAGCTGGGCTGCACCCCATGCCCACCCCATGCTCATCCCATGCCCGGCCGGCTGAGGATGCAGGATGCAAGACCAGCCCTGGTGCCGAGCCGCTGGGGGTGCAGCATCCAGGTAAGCTGAGCACCGCGCTGCAGCCCCTGCTCAGCTGGTCCAGGAGATGCTGGACCCGGGAAATAACAGCGGTCCCGAGGGCTCGAGCGGCTGCGGGACACCCACGCCCGCCCGGCTGGGGGCTGCAGGAGCGGCTCCAGCCCTGCCCGGCGGGTCCGGGCAGGAGCATCCCTGGGCAGGAGCATCCCCGGGCAGGAACATTCCTGGGCAGGAGCATCCCCGGGCAGGAACATCCCTGGGCAGTGCAGCACCCGGGCAGGAGCATCCCCGGGCAGCTCAGCACCCGGGCAGGGGCATCCCGGGGCAGTGCAGCACCCGGGCAGGAGCATCCCCGGGCAGGAGCATCCCTGGGCAGGAGCATCCCTGGGCAGCTCAGCACCCGGGCAGCTCAGCACCGGGGCAGGAACACCCCGGGCAGGAGCATCCCCGCTGCCGGCGCGGGCAGGCAGGAGCCGGGATGCGGGATGCGGGGAGCACTCACATCGAGGATGACGGAGGTGCCCTTCCTCTGGGCGGCGGCGGCCCCCGGGGCCAGCAGCTCCCTGTCGGCCAGGCCCTTGTCGCCCATCCTGCCGGCCGCCCAGCGCAGCAGCCCGTCCAGCCCGCGCAGCGCCGGCGCCGGCTTCCGCAGCAGCTTCTGCACCCCGGCCCGGCAGTAGCGCGCTGCCTGCTCGCACATCGCTCAGCCCGGCCTCATCCCGCCGCCGGGACTCCCCCTCCTTCTCCTCCTCCTCCTCCTCCTCCTCCTCCTCCTCCTCGCACAGCCGCTCGGCGGGCAGCGGGCGGGTCCGCGGGGGACGCAGCCCGAAGAGCAAGGGGGGAGTTTTGGGGTGGGGGCAGGACAGTTTTGGGGTGGGGGTAGGTCAGCCCCCCAGACTCCAGCACAAAGCATCCTTTTAGGGATTTATGTCTAAAAAGCTATATCCGTGTTCTCTCCCCTGCACAGCCGCTCTACACTCACAGCAGATTTTAGCAGCTCTTTGTGAGGGCAGAAGAGAATGAATTTGTTGCTAGTGAATAAAACTTGCCCCTGAACTCCTGTGCCTCCTTCAAAAAGCCTCTATTCAATGGATAGTCAGAGATTCCAGGTGGGGTATTTCAGCATCTGTGGCTACAGCACTAACCACAGCGCTCAGCTGGAAAATATTCCTAACCCTGTAATTCTGAGGATATTTCTGAGGATAAACCCTGTATTGTGAGGATATTTCTTTGAGATACTCCTGTGCTCAGCTTCAGCCTCTAAATCAGCAAGATTTAGACCTGCAGTAGAGGCACTAAGTCTTCTGGACAAAATGGCACTAGATAATTTCATTTCCTACTCCACATCTGAGGAGGTGCTCCCAGTTTGAGAAAGGCACCAAAGCAGGAGAGCTCAGACCCAGAAACTTGGAGGTTTCCCCAGAGTTCCGGAGTAGCCACAGGCTCCAAGGGGCTTTTCCCACATGCAGGAACCAGACCCTCTCAGAGGCAGCTCTAGAGGACCTGATGACCCAGCAGGGCCACGTCCCAGATCTGAACAGCTCTGTCACAGCAGCCAGCACGCCCAGCACCCTGCCAGCACTGCACAGTTCCCACACGGAGCCCTGAGCCTGAGCAGCAGCAGGATCACTCCAAAGGGCCTGCCCAACACTGCCTTCAGTGAAACAAACAGCAGTAAATTGTTTCTTTCAACAGAGCTTACACATTGCAGTTCATCAGAACCCAGATCCTCACAAAAGCCTACCTGGAGGAATTATTTAGCTGTTCTTTAGCTATTCTTCTAATCCCGCATCTGTATTCAGGTAAATTGGGGTGAATTTTCTGTGTTTGAGGTGACAGGTGGGGAATGTGCATTTTCCTCTCAGCTGCTGCTCAAAGAAAAGTGAGTGGGAGCCCAGTTCTTTCTGCTGGAGTACATGGAGAATAGCTGGAAGCTCTTAAAAGCCTCTTAAACAAATGAGGCACAGAGAAGCCTAGCAGTAGGTCAGGACACCCAAGGGCTGAGCCCCTCATTTCACCCAGCTCTTGCCTTTCAAGGTTTCCTTCTCCAGCAATGCAAAATTCACGGGGGAAAACAGGAATTTCAGGGCATTATGATGGCTTGTGGAGCACTTCAATGGCTCTGTGCTCTTTCACAGGGATGCTCAGAGCAGTGCACAACCCAACCATCACTCAATTCCCAGTCACATCTCGCAGCAAAGCCCAGCCAAGCCACATCTTGTCCTCCTTGCCATGAGCTGGTGCCAGTCTCCTGTGCCCCTCATGGTCAGAGCTACTCTGCTCTTTTGTACTTGCACAAAGCTCAGATTATTCACATTCTACTTTCTCCTTTAGACAGCCCTCCATTGAATGGCTGGATCAGACTGTATTGATCACATCCAGGTTAGGTTTACTATAAATGCTTGCTAATTAAAACTATTGATTGAATAAATTTAGAAATAAGGTTCTTTGGATTTTCCTATTTGCCATGAAGATTCATTACTTGGATTTCAAGTTTGGGGCTATTTCTGTGCTTTTGTCAAAACCATTTCTTGCTAATGTCAGAACCAGCTCTGTGGCATTGAAATACTAATTTTTCCTACTAAACAGATCAAGATAGAAAAAAAAATTCTGCCATTCAGACATTAGGAAGAAGCCAACCATTTGTACTGGGCTGTGTTACTTGGGCCTATTCCCCAGTTCCCCTGAGGCTGAAGTCTCTCTTTGAAGAAAAAGTGGGAAGATTGTTACTACTAATCAGAGCCAGGTGAGGAAAGCAAGGAGCTCTCTGCTGGTGCCAGCCCATGTCACACCACAGCCAAGGGTGGGGGCAGAGGCACAGGGCTCACCTTGAGCTCTGTGTGCCAAACTCATCCCCTGCTTCCTGCCAGGGGACAGGGGACACTGCCTGTCCTGTGCAAACAAACACAACTGCAGCCAGGGCTCTGCCAGCCTCTCTCACCTGTGCTGCTGCTCATGGCACTGACCCCAGCATCCACCAGGCCACAGGAAGAAACCAAAAACCAAACTGGTGATGGACGGGTGGAGACAGCAGGGTTTACTTGCCCCTTCAGCTGCAGCTCCTGGGCATCCAGCACACTTTACTGCATTTCATTAAAAGTGGAGAGAGCAGCACCACCAACAGCCACTGGCTGCCCTGAAAGCTTTATCCAGTGGCACAGGAATTAATAGGAGAGAAGGGAGAGAATGCAACTAAAGAGCACAGTTAGATCAGGCAAGTGCATCCCTGGGAAAGCAGCAAGCATTAATTACAGCTCCTGGCAGGCTCAGCGTGGTCAGGCCAGCAAGGACCAAGGGCAGCAGAGCCCAGCGTGCAGCACAGCCACTGACCTGCTGGCATTTTGCTTCCCACGCTGTGCTGCAGGCACGGAGCTCCAGCCTGCCCAGCAGAGGAAGGGGGAGCTGCAGGGAAAGGCAGCAGCTGCTGCTCCACCTTCTGCACCCTGACATTTAACACCGAGCCTCCCCTCTGCTGCGCTGGCCGGGCACGCGCCTTGTCAGACCTCTGCAGTGTTATAAATGATGGATGTGATGGACAGGAAGGTTGATAGAGATCAGATCTATTCCCTCCCAGTCCCAGCTCCAAGTTCAGGAACTCTGAGATCTCAAAAAAGAGTATTGCCAGTCCAGTTTCAAGCCTGACCTTGACCTGACAATGTGTTTTGCCTGGTGCATTTGCAGCTCAGCACGGAGCACAGGTTTACTTCTGCCACTGACAAAGTTTGCTCTGCCAGCTTTCATCTGGGGCTTATTCAGGTGCTACATCAGTATTTTCCAGAAAGACTTGGAGCAGGAGCACAAACCATGTGCTGTAATTTCAGATGAGAGCCCATCTGAAAAACACAAGGGCTTCTCTGAAGGGAAGGTCCAAGAGGAGCAGAAGTCCTGCCCACACCCTGGCATGGGCAGAGGCAGTGGCTTTCATCTCCCCTTTGAGTTCTGCCTTCTCCCCCCATCCATCTGCACCCAGCAGGCAGCTTTATTTAATTAAAAACTTCCAACAGGCAGGACCTGCAGCCTTGCTTGGTGCAAAATGTCACAGACGACTTACTAATATTTACTGATGATTGAGGTTAATGCAACAGTTCAATGGCAGGAAGAGGAAATGGCAACCCTGTCACAGAGATGGGAACTTGGCAGAGCAACCTTGCTCACCCAGCCTGGAAGCAGAGTTGACACTTTGGTTCCTCTATTAACTTATGTTTATTATAATGTAGCATGTAATCACCAGGTGACTCTGTCAGAAAATGTATATCCCAGCTTGAAAATGCCACTCTGCCAACAGCACCATGGTAACTCCCCAGTCTGAACTGAAGAGGATCCAGGGAGACTGTGTCCATGTCCATGTGCTAGCTCCTAAAAACACAACAAAGCCCTCCCCTCTGCAGGCTGGAGGGAGCAGAGCTCATGGTTTGGTAACACAGCTTGGCCTCCCCACTAATGAAGTGTCAAGTCCACCTCATCACTGGGATCACAGGCTTGTGGCACAGGCCCTGCAATCAGGGACAGCAAACGCTTCAAATGCACCATTTTACGTTGGGTTGATCTTAAAGAGCTAAATTCTTGTTTAAGGCAAGATGTAGATTTGTACTTTGAGTATCTCCAGAGATACCCTAAGAGACAGAAACCTCTCCTTCCAAGGGCTCCTGCACCCCAACACCCCTCCTGCCCCAGGAGCAGCGCTGCAGCCAGGGCAGGAGCAGGCAGGGGTGCACAAGGACAGAGCCTGAGCTGTCCTGGGGAGTTACTCGGCCCACCCAAGGCACCCAATTGCTGCAAACAGAGACCAGGTGCAGTTGGAGAGTTTTGGTTATTGGTGGTCATTATGCTAAAGGCACAGGAATGCAGGGGAGTTATAGAGACTAACCTCACCATTTAATAAAACTTACACAGCATTAAGATGCCACAGCTCTCAGAGATCCAGACTTCCCCAGAGCTCTGAGATGGTTCCCCTGAGAAATATGAGGATTTGTCATCGTAAGAAAAAACGAATTTTTAAAAATAAAGTAAAAATCAAAGCTCTAATTCATAAGAGACACCTTCCAAGACATACACAGGTTTATCCTGGAGAGGGCCTGGGAGCTATGGGGCTTCTCCAAACCTCTCAGGAGCAGCACAGCTCCTGCCTGGGCTGGAGCAGTAAAGTTCAGGACACCTGGGCTGGAGCCTCCCCATAGCTCCAGGTATGGCCTTCAGCTCCCAGGATCCTGCCACCACTCAGTGGAAACCTCAAAACCTGAGGAATATTGCCTTTTAGTCATTCTGAGGAGCAGGATTGTAGGCAAACAGTGGGTCAAATCCTTCTGCTGATGGCTGCTAAGTAAATTCAGAGGGTGGTGCTTGATTTTGTTTTGGTGTTGGCTATTAAGGGACCTTACCTAGCTCTGTTGCTTTGGTAATTGAAGAAATTAACATTTAACACCCAAACTAACACACCCTTGATTAAAGGCCACTGACTGGATAGACCTTGTGATTGTGGGTTTTCAGGGAAGAGCTACAGCAATGTTTTTCTTGCATGTTTATTACTTATAATGGTGTTCAGGTAAAGCAGACCAAAATATTTTTCCCTTCAATATGCAACTGATGTCAGAACTATTAAGGACCCTGGAACAAGCTAATCCACTTCTGATGACCTTTCAAAATTACCTTTCATTTCTTGTGACCAGTATACCTAATTTCAGATCATACTAACAGTAAGAAAAACATGGAAATGGAGAA